ACCGATTGTCGGACTGAACTGCCACGAAGTAATATATTAAATAATAAACGATGTCTGTTACCAAAAAATATATATTAATAGGGAAAAATAATAAAATTTATATATTATATTAAGTAGAAGAACGTAGAAAACAAAATTGGTTTATGATCGAATTTCAGCTTTACGGCTTTCACCTATGTGCATAAAGTTGAAAAACGTAATGTTATATGAGTTCCTTTATGAAATTATTGTTATAAGTGNATAAAGTTGAAAAACGTAATGTTATATGAGTTCCTTTATGAAATTATTGTTATAAGTGAGTTATAATTATTGGTTGAAATGAAACTTATTTTCTTCTTTGTGTCATGTTTTTTTTGATGTTCTGAATTTTAATACTCACTCGTCGATGCGCTTAATTTTTCACTACATTTTAATAAAGTATCGCTGAACTTTCGAAGTTGCACAGTGTCTAGATTGTAAACCATCGTCTGAAAGGAAATTAAGTGCAATTGCAATAGCTATCAGCTTGAAACGATATTTTTGTATTTATTATTACTATAATATAAAATTAAATTTAGATGTATATGATGCAGTGTATATAAGACGGCGTATTGCATGCATAACCGTCAACTGCATTTGAATAATATGAAATGTGGCACCAACTTATTGAAGTTTTCTCGAGTTGCAATTTTGCTGCCGCATCTTTCATGCGTTACTTTCGAAGAAGAATGCTATATTTTATGGTGCGCTTTATTTTGTAGTTCCAATTGTTATATTGACAAGTGCAGCCACTTGCGTGCGCTATTTAGCTAATTATTGTTGGAAAAAATCTCACGTCGTATAATTAAATACATATTAATCTAAAATTCTTTATCAGATTAAAAACTTATTTTTCATTTTTCGCCTTTTTTAATACCTTAATTTTTTATCTTCCTTAACACGCAAATTAATGAACTATTGACATTCACATAATTATTTGTCAGATGCAAATGAGACATGTGATACAAATCGCGACATGACAATATGAGAGAAAATTGGCATTCTAAAAACGCGATATAACAATGATTTTAATAATTTTGAATCTCAACATTTTATGTCGTTTTTAGAAACGATGATTATATGGAACACTTTCATGCAATTTAATGAAATCTGGAAATCCAGTCGTATTTCATAGGACTCTCTTGGAATTCAATTTTGTGTATTCTGATTTTTCCAGAACTTATTTCTTTTTTGGAATTTTGATAAGTTTTTATTATATATCAGAATAATATAAATCTATCAAAATCTAAATCCTATCATGGCCGTCTTAATACAGTGACGCTTAATCGAATATGAATCGCAAAGTAAAATTTATCCATTTTGCAGTTTTTAATTGTCTTCGAAATGTGATTCGCCTTTTCCATCGACATAAACTCCCAACGTAAGTTTCATGCTTTCGGTGAAACCTTCTCCATTAATTTATAAACCTTAGTCATTTGTGATAGATAAGCTAAGAAATAATTAGTTATTGTCTCGTTTATTGGAATTAATAAAGGAACGATGTCTTCGTAAAAATAAATTTAATGAATCTTTAATGCAGCTGAGTTCTTCCGAGACGTAAAATTGCAACTTTTTCCCGTTTGGTAGCAGGAATTGTGTCGGTACAAGTTTCCGCAACGCATCGCCAGTGTGCAACTCAACGTAGTGTATCCATATAAAACATAGCACTAATTAATTGGTTTTTAACTAAGTAATGATTGCTTTACTAATCATTGCAGACAAGACTAAAGCAGCATTTTTTTATTCGTATTACTTTAATGAATACTGCTGTGAGAAGTAAAGTGATGTCATTTCACACAATCCTGTCTCACAATCCAGCATGTTGTCAAATCTGAGAATGAGGTAATCACTAAGACAATGTTTACTGTTTAAGATTGGCGGCTATGAATTTCTTATCAAGTCTCTTATGTTAATTTATCCGTTTTAATATGAATTGTTTGGATTATTTTAAAAATCTTCTTATTTCAACTCCATTTTATTGAATTACCAATATGAAGATACATTTTGACAAAAATATATCAAACTGGAAACATAAAGTTATACAGAAAACCTCGGAAAAAAAGGTAAAGATAGCGTTTGGAATATTGTATGGAAGAAAATCCGCAAGTCACTTTTATTGTGGTGCGTCTAATAAAGGCAAAATTGCCAAAGAACACTTGGCAATCTTCAACGTCTGCTCTCGGCCGGTGGATCCACTATGAACCGCTGTATTTGCAGACAGATTTCAATAATGATGAAAATTATTCTTCAAATAGATAATAAAATGGATTACCCTTATCGTGGCAGTAGACGTACATCTCTCGCGCTTTTTCTAATTTGTCTGTGTCGGAAATAAAATCCTCCAATGCCCGCACGGTTACATCTTTCGTGTATTCGCCATTTGCGTTAAAGATCTGGAAAAAAATTACATGCTAATTTAATATTTCTTGAATGGGAAAAATAGAAATATTCCAATTTTTTCTAAATTTTGAAGTTTGCAAAGGCCAATTAATAACTGATAAAATACTGCGCATGTGTTACTATTATGTAGTCTTAGTACTTTAATTACACCATGTGTTAAGGTTATTTTGTCAACTAATATACATTAAATACAAATATATACGTACTTTGCCATCCTTCTCCCCCGCGCATACAATTGCTTCGGCAGTTGGTGCAGCTACAAAGGAGTAATAAATATGATTGTTGAATTACGAGATTTCGAATACTTTTAAGATGCTTTAACAAACACAGTTCAACGATCAGTCGTGCATAACAACATTACTTCCCTTATCATAAACGCCAAATTTTTGAGAATATCTGGACAGATACGACTAAATTATTATAAATAATTTTTTTTTTTACCAAAGGAGGAGATATCGCCAATTTCAACTTATGTCATTTCCGTATATACATTTATGAAATTGTTATGATTTTTATTTTATTTTTTATACCATATGTTTTTCTGTGCATTGAATTTTAATACTCACTCGGCGACCCGCCCCATTCCTCGGTGCACTTCACCAAGTTCTCGGACAACATCCGTATTCGCGCGACGTCTAGACCGTAAACTACTGTCTGGAAGGATTGATTGCATTCAAAATATATAGAAACTGTTTTGTTTGGACTTAATAATTAAGTGCAATCACAGAATTCGTCAGTTTGCGATGCAACTGAATTTTTCATTTGCGATAAATTTCAATATTCATGATTATTATTTTAACGGAGAAAATCCGTAATTAAAATCTTTATAAAAATTTATTTTAATTCCTCTGATAAAAATTTAAAACAGGCGCTAGAAAGACTCTACACTAGAAATGCAACGCTCGTAAAATTTATGGTCAGATTTCTATCTAGCGAGTAAATCTATTTAAGACCTGACTGAGCCCTATAAACTACAGATCTTGTTATTATGTGATTATAAAAAAACTTTTTTTTTTTATTATATTATTATTTAAGTACATATATAACTTTTGTTATTTTGCGAATAGCTTGAAAGATGCACATACATTATCCCGAAAAAGGAAACGTTACAAACTGTGCAAAGTGGTACAATTTTTCGAAATATAATAATAATAACCGTCCGAGAGCTGAGTTCCGCAATAAATTCTTGAAATACAATTTTATCGAAACATTAAATTAATGCAATTTTTCTAAAAAGTTACAATTCTAAAAACTTAATACCAGGGCAATCTCCCAAAGTATTGAAAGCATGAAGCTGTTTTGCTAAATTATGTAATGGTGAATCGTACATAACACAATATGTATTAAGGGTTTCGATTAATTTGAAATGATATTTATGCTGAAAAATATTTATTAAAAAAAACGATGCATTATATTTCGGTCAATGTATTTTTCACCGCTTGCTACAACTTTTACCAATCTTTCTGCCAAGAAGCGGATACCTCATTAACCTCATTAAGATAAAATATTTCGAGAGATCACAAAATATTTTATTTAATGCTTGCGACTTACCATAATGACCAATATGCACACGGTAGGATATATAATCACCGAAGCCGTCATTCTGTACCCTTCCAGAAGGTCGCAAGAAGTAACAAGTGTAGTGTAAGTGAGTTTATTCGTATACTGTTTCGTAGTATAGCTGCAATTTCGTATTTATAAGCGGGTGGCAGCGATGTTAATAGCTTACGTTTTTTGTAATGATACCTGTTATACTGGTTATACCTGTTGTACCTGATTTGGTTGAGGTCACCACAAGATAAAGGTGGTATAAATTAACTGAGAATAAAAGTCTTCTTTGAGAATAAAAGGTGGTATAAATTAACTGAGAATAAAAGTTAGATGAAGGCTGATGTCCTACGTAGATTATCATAATAACTATCATTTAACACGTTTCATCTGATAGACATCACTACGAAATAATAGTAGTATATAAATAAGCTTATATCTACAGAAAAACGAGATTCGTGTGGGTAATTTGAGAATAATTTGGGGGGGGGGGGGAATTTAACACTAATTTTGTTTTTCTTGCATATCGAATGTTGTCGTTTCTTATCTTTTATTAATTATATAGCTATGCCTTATCTTTTTTATACTGTATGGCGGAAAATACGTTTTAGTTAGATTTGTCGATAATGACCATAATTAACAAAGTGGCGGTCTTAATCGTTTGCTTTTTATCGTCTCCTTAACCCCTTGACACACGATAACGAGTCTGACTCCGTCACTTATTTCATGGGCCACCGTAGACTTTGACGAGTCTGACTCGTCAAGCGCTTTTTTTGGCGAACGCCGTGCAGTTTACAATTAGATTACATAGTTGCTTCACTCGTGCGTCGATTTTCGTTTGTTTATAACGTTCGAGATGGCGCAAGAACAATAAAGTATCAAACATATAAGAAGGAGCACACTCAAAGTAACATTCAGTTTAGCAGGAGTCTCGCACAGTGAATGTTATATTAGCCAATATTTGAGTTTAGTAAAGATTATAAATAATCCCTGTAACATGTATAAGTCGGATGCATTATATGAAAGTGACGATGAGAAATTACCTACAAAGAGATGCCGCGTGTGCGTAAAAAACAACATAAGAAGTGAAACAACGTGGCAGTGCAAAATATGTTTAGTTCCTTTACATGTTCCAAAATGTTTCGAAATATTCCATACTGTACAGAACTATTAAATTATTATTTTTTAATGTTATTTAGATGTTCTTTGTTAACATCAATCTGATTAATAAAAATCCAAATTTCAAAATAAAATGTACTCTTTCTCAGTTTTCACGTAACTGTTCAGTTGAGCGAAATTAAATAGTATTTTTTGGTCGCATTAAGTTCCATTTAATTTGTATGTCAAGGGGTTAAGAAAGACAAGGCGTAACAAAATTCTTTTAAAATATATGTAATTGGTTTAAACAATGAGTTGTTTGGTTTGGCATTGGAACGTTTTGAGTAATACATGTATTTTAATGGTGCTGACACAAGTGTTGTCGCCTTGCTCTTCGTGCACGTTCCATTCATTTGGGAAGAAACTCACAACTAAACAAACTTTTCGCTAACCGTGAACGATGTTAAAATAGCGGAGTAATTATATCAGTTGTACTGATATAATGTTTCCTTTGTCCTCCACAGAAGACGGAAACTTACTCAATTTGTACCGATCATAATAAAAATATAGAGGTAACAGATAATACCTGTTGACAGGTATTATTCTCCTCTGCACGAAGTATGAAAGCGCGCGAAGTATTATTCATTATACTGAACTTTGAGAAACATTTAGGAACGAATTTGACGATGGCGAATTTTACAAGAATTCTGTAAAAATATTTAAGTCTTTTTCTATAATCTTATAGGTTTTCTTTAAAATAACTTTTCCATAAATTATTCCTCGCCATTATGCTATTTAGAGTACGATTATGTTGATCAAATTTGTAACACCCGAATTCCGACGTCGGTCGTATGAGACGTTAGCGGATTTTGCTCCTTAGATGCTGGGTTCGGTGGAAGAAGCGTAGACTTAAGTGTAACGAAAGAAAATAATTTATTCCAAGCTGTACGTAAAAATGATATGTTACCAGATTCGTACGTGAAATAGTGTCGCGAAATAATGCTCGGTCGTGCGACATTGTTGAGGCGGGCCTCGATCATCAGCGTATGGCAGCGTAGAACATATACGGGCACTCGCGACGTGCGGTGAGACGGTGAGTGTAATCATAAATAGATATTAGGGATAGTGATTGGTGTGAGCTGTCGATCAAAGCGCACGGCGTTTGATGATCTCGTAGTAATGATACGATCGATTCGGAGTTGATTCGGGCACTTTCCCGAATCGTTACTCGGCTCATAGCTAGATCTTCGCTTGCTCACAATATCTCACTTGTTCGGATCGTTCTGCGTCAATCACACCGATTGCTCCAATTGCATTTTACTTGATCGATACGGAGGAACGCGATCGAATTGTTATTTTGATTTGTCCGCTCGTCGCCATGTACGCTGTGTGAATGTTTATTCGACACAATTAAGCACTAAGTGCGGTGCCCGCCGGATGGTGCGGTTAGGAACGACGTAAAAAAAAATGCACCATTACAAGTTAGTTCGATGTGAAATATTGTACGAAGTTACGTATCATCTCGTTATAATTGGAGAGTGGACACATATTTTGATATATTTGTTTATTTATCAATCTTGTGACTTTTTCAATCGGAATTAGCTTAGTCCCATTCCATGTTTATTCAAATTACATTCATTTTCTTTTAAGTCGTTAGCACAAACACACAAGCCGACGAGGGGAAATTTAATTTATAAATTAATACAAATGAAGTTGTACAGAGTCTCGAAAAGAAAAGTAATAAGCGTTCGTTTCGTAATGCGCACACGGGAAAATATACAAGCCGTCCTTGTTACGGTTTATCGAGGAGAGGCAAAATTGGCAAAGCGCATTCGGCAATTTTCAAAGTCTGTTCTTTTCCTCTGGCCCCGCTTTGAACGGCTGTAATTAAATGTGATAATGATAGAATTTATTTGCTGGAAAAATTATTCTTAAAGACGATTGTCAAATTGATTACCTTCGTCATGACACTTTTCATATTTCTTTATGGCCTCTTCCAACCGGCTCGTGTCGGAAATATTATCCATAACTGCTTGAATGACTGCTTCTCTTATGTACTCGCCTCTCTTGTTGAAAACCTGAAATAGATTATAGCATGATTTAATATTACATCGTATTAGTTATGAAAAGGACTGAAGGACTGTTTTACCTATGAATCGTCATGTTAACATAATTAATTTTATGAATAAATAGGTAATTCGTTTTACATCCCTTACAAAAATTTATTACTGCTAAGTTAGTGATTAATTACTTATTTTGAATATTTAAAACACTGTTGTTAGTTATTCGTAGTGATTAAATTATATTGCTAGCAGCGTTCCCAAATATTTCAGAATTTAGGATTGCAGTGATTAAATATTATTTTATCATTAATGTGAATATTCAATACTCTTTAAAGGAAACAAATTTATATTTACCCAAGTTTACATTATAAGAAATTTTCACTTCTACTTGCGTATAAAGATGAAATAACCCGAACGTTATTAATATTATAATCTTTTATAAACATTAGATATTACTTGAAAAACAGTCATAATACATTGTTGCAAGGGTTAATGAAATTTCTTTTTTTTATATTCTTACGAATTATTACATATCAGAAATTTATCATTCCAATAGCATTTATGTTAATATCTAACGATGGATATGTATATTAGTAAAATAATAGCTACTTAACTACAATGCAGGTGTTAAAGTGTTTTATCGATTATTATGTATTAAATATGAATATACGTACACCGCCATACTCGACTGCCGCGCATATAAGTGATTCAGTGTTAGCGGTGTCTGAAACGCATAAGAAATCGGACTGTTAATTCAATTGCGAGATATCGAATTTTAATTGCTATAATTAGGTGAATAAATTTGCTACAGTAACGTTACCTAATTCATCAAAAATGCGAAACTTTTGATAACAGTATCGAAAAAGATGTGAAAGGTTCAACAATACAAAACGATGAGCGTTTCCTTAAAAG